TTGCAATTTTCAGTCATTTTGTATTACAAACGGGAAATACATACCCTTTTTCCGAAGGAGGTATGTATTTCCCGCGCGTAATACAAAATGACTGAAAATGGCAAACTTCGCAAGGCTATATTATCCGCATTTTACAACATTTTGCAATGAAACTTTGGAATATTACTAATTTTGTGATGCTCTTTCAAGCTGTGATAAAATTTTTGTCTAGACTTGTTGAGATCTAAATTTTAGTCAAAAGGTGAAAGGTCCATTCACAACACAAGAAAAACTACGCATTCGCCATCTTTAACCACTTTATGGTGTTCCTTAGTGCCCCTGCTTTAACGTACTGCGTCTCAACTACATTTATTGAGAGGGGGAGTGGGGTGCAGCCACCCTAACTGTTCAGCTAAACTCAATCTTCTCTGAAAAAAAGGACCCAAGGGGAAATCCTGAAAAAAACCCTGCAAGTATCTCTTACCTCAGTCACATGTGAAAAGGTTCTTCCAGTTTGATTGCAGGTTTTCTCGCGGTACTCTGGTTTCTCACTGTAGCATCACTGGGCAATGATAAATGGCCGCTTCTGGATCTCCAGGGAGAACTGTTCGATAGTGTAAACCAGTCGTAATCATTCGTATCTGTGTTCTATTACTTCAGAGCCCAACGTTACTGGCAAAGATTCTGGGTGTCTACAGGATTGGATGTAACAGCAAACTAACTAATACTCCTGTCAAGAAAGATCTTCTTGTTATGGATAACTTGTTTTATAACTGTAAAGTCGATCAGGTTAGTTCCATATTTAATTTTGTTCATACTGAATGAATGAACCTGCTCACAAAAGGGAGTTCATTAGTTACAAAACATTAAAACCATTTTTTTATATACGTATACATTATTAAAACGTGTTGTTTCTTCTTACAGATATTTGATTTGAAAGGTTCCATACGCAGTCGCTATGTTTATATGTCGTGTGCAAAAGAAGGCGATGTTCTATTGGACGAGAATCTTTTAGAAAGTGAGTTGTTTGATCATATACTCTAATCGTAAATAAATTTGGACGGTTCAGTTGAGATATGAATTCTCTTATTGCTAAAACTATATCCTCTTTTTGATCCTTCCTTTCAGTGATTGCAGAGTCACCATTGTTCATCCGTCCTCACTCGAAAGCCGTGCTTTCTCGTGGCATCAACAATGACACAGAATTTCTCGCCAAGCACATGGTCATGGATTACTCACTGCTCTTGGGGGTTGAACGAAATTCTTGCAAGCTCATTGTTGGAATAATAGGTACGTATATCTCACTACCTACCCACCCACCTACCTATCAACTTATCTACCAACCCACTCACCTACCTACCTACCTACCCACCTACCTATCAACTTATCTACCCACCCACCTACCTACCTACCTATCAATTTATCTACCCACCCAACCACCCACCTACCTACCTATCAACTTATCTACCCACCCACCTACCTATCAACTTATCTACCCACCCACCCACCCACCCACCCACCCACCTACCTACCTACCTACCTACCTACCTATCAATTTATCTACCCACCCAACCACCTACCTACCTACCTATATCAACTTATCTACCCACCTACCTACCTATCAACTTATTTACCCACCCACCTACCTACCTACCTGTCAACTCACCCACCCACCTGCCTACCTACAATCAACTTATCTATACCTACCTACCTGCCTGTCTATCAACTTATCTACCCATCCATCTACCTACCCACTCACCTTCCTACCTAACAACCTACCTACCCACTCACCTTCCTACCTACCCACCCACCCACCTAGCTACCTATATACAAACGTATCTTCCCATCTATTCAGCCATTTATTTTTATTTCTCTAGATTATATCCGTACATTCACGTGGGATAAAAAGCTGGAGATGTACGTGAAGTCAACAGGTATTCTCGGAGGACAAGGTAAAATGCCGACTGTAGTCTCGCCCGAACTCTACCGAGAGAGATTCTGCGAGGCAATGCAACGCTATTTCTTAATGATACCTAACAAATGGATGGGCTTAGGAAATGAACTGAAATGAATCGTTTGCTGCGGTGATTGCCAAGAATTATTGTACGGTTAGTCTCAATTTGGTCGTGAGGCTGACCGATGTAACGTCGATATATTTAAACAAACTCATTTACGTACAACACAACATAAACTCAGACTATCACTCTTTCGTCGGTTTTAGATGTCGAATTTAATTCGTTGACAACGTCACACTAAATTTCAAAAAAAGCAACAGGATTGCAGATAATATATTTTGTAGACAATGGGCCGAGAATCGGTCCTGATTAATAGACAAACGACAATTCATGTTAATTGGGAAAAATCAATTTTGTATTTATTTAATTTAATATCATTTCAATGCACATATAACAGTCAGAATCAAGAAAATATAGTATCAATTTCTAACACACTCAAATTGTGGCCTGTTGGTATAGAGTCTCTCTCCTCCGCAGAGGCTTTAGTTGGCTATGATTTATACGATTAGTATTGAGATACATTTCACCACACTTCACATGGCGGATCTTGGAACACGAGTGGAGCCGCTGTTTCTGCGGAGGAAAGAGGTATAGAGTAATGGTAAGCTGCCGTGGTTTGTGTCGGAACTACTTGAAAAAGGTACCTCAGATGTGAGGGTTGAGTGTAGGTAGTTATTTCACAATAAGCTACCGTGGCTGCATGGTTTGTGTCTGACTTAAAATGATTAAAAACGCTTTGAAGTCCCAAAGAAGGGCTTGAAGCGCTGGAAGTATTTTCAGTCATTTTCAGGTAGTTCAGACACAAAACACACCAGCTTAGCCAGCTTACAACAATGACAGAATTACTCTGGGTATAAAAGAAAACATTTATTCCTTGTCTTTTTAATTAATTGCATATTCATCTGTTCTCAGCACAACAATATCTCATTATTTGACAACGTGCATGTTTGCAGAGGTGGTCTATAGTTCTTTTGCAGATTATTCACAGATTATCAACAAGGCGTCCCAACCAACTTGGATACTTCATGTAACCGTGCTGTTAAGGTAATCCACAAACATATTTCCAAGCTTGCTGGTATCTTCAACCGGATGCATCTTAGAGTAGGTGATGAATTGTTTCCTTAGCCGACGGAGCTCACCCATTGTCACGTGACGTTGAAAATGCACCTAAGTTACACAAGTGAAAATTCAGAGCTATTAGTTTCTCACTTGTTTGAGGAGATGCAGATAGGAATAGACAAATTTACACCCAATTTCACAACTTTGGTTTCCTCAGATGCCTGGATATGTACTATTTAAAACATGAGCAGCAGTGTTTTATTAGATATAAAGATACGAGGCGAAGCCGAGTATCTTTAGGTCTGATAAAACACGTACTGCGAATGTTTTAAAATGCTTATTGTCGTTCTAATTGAAGTGTTGCTCAAATATTGATTCAATTACAGAATCTGTACTAAAACCACTAATTCTGTTTTGTGATTGGCGTGGTTTAATCAGAGAATCGCCCCGTTGAACCAGAGCCTTCGCGACGTTTCAATTTATTATTCACTGTCGAAGGCTCTGGCATCCAGGGTACCCGAGGTAATGTATTGAATCAATATTTGAGCAACACTTCAATTGGAACGACAGTAATTGAGTAGCAACGTTATAACCAAGAATGGCATGGCAACCTTGTTGGTAGATCCAGGGATAGAGATGAGCTCTCCAGGAAGACTTGTTCTTTGTGCTGCCAAGATCGCCTAAAATTGAAAGTTTAAGATTCTAAACCATTTGATACATGTTGTCAAAACATTTATGAAAATTGTGCCAAAAATTTTGCATCAACCAAGGGAGTCGAAGAAGTTTACACTGTTAGACACTTTGATGAAACTGTACTTAATCTACTGAAAAAACTCTGATAGTGTAATTGAGTCCTAAGATGTTTACATTGCTGTGCACATGTTATGTACTTCGGTCACAAAAGGTCTTACTGTAATAACGTCTTGCGTTTTTCTATCCAGATCGTTGAGAAAATTCGTAGCTGATAACGGTTGCTGGTAAAGAGATGGAAAACAGTTGAAAGGCAAAGCAAACCATGATATGGATAATACAATGCTACCTACACATTGTGTTGATTGATTTGGTGGCGGCGGGATCCGATTAATAACAGCATCATATATGGCGTCAAAAGGTAGAGTGTCGTCAACCTACATACATGATTTATGGTGTTAGGAATGTAGGCTACACGAAAATGACTTATTTTTTCCAAACAACTTCTAATCTAAACTTAGTCTTGGGCTAAGTTTACACTTGTACCTTTCCGTAGCGACGCGAAAAAGACACCTATCCATACCTTTTATAGGAACACTATTTTCAGAGGAATTATTGCAACGGAGAGATGTTGTTTCTCTCAGCTTCTGAAAGATTGTACATTCCGTATCGGATAGGTGCTTTTTCGCGTCGCTACGGAAAGCTATCTGGTATAGTGTCAACGTAGCCTTAATCTTGCCTGGATTGTAAACAGGGGTGAGTCCCAGCGATTCTTGGAATCAGGTGGTTCAAAACGCATAACCAGTTCATCCATTCTGGGAAATAAAAGATCATCATCATTTATTCTTAGGAAAGAACGATGGGCTAATGCATTGTTTTTAAAACAATTTTCCTTCTTTCAAATCACTACAGGATAAAGTTCTTGTGATAATACGTACAGTTCGTCATTGTATTTATCATCCCGTTTTCTATTCCATTCAATGCAATTTTCTTTTGAGCTTTCGCAGTAAATCTTAATTGTAATAATTCAAATGTACCCGTTATGATCATTTTACTGGTAATGTTTTAACTGATTAACAAGGCTCTGGTAATTTTACCCAAAATGCGAGACTCACCACACAATGCGGTGTTTTGTGTGCCTTGGCAGAACAGTACAATTCATACCTATAACCTGGACACGAAATTAAGTTAGGTTACGTTGGTACTGAAAATTTTGTATACAAATGAAAACGCTTTTCAAATTTACCTTTGATGTAATTTAAGGAGTCGAGTATAACAACAATATCTCTTGACATCAATCTTTTTTGAGCAAAGTAAATATTGTACAAATTAGTTAAACCTGTACAATCGTTTGGCGTGCAGTCGAGCTTGTGTGCCACAATTTCAAGATTTATCTATGTTATACCTTTCGACTGCTGACTTCATTGACCCCCTCGCAGACTTCTCATTTGCTGATGCTGAATTGAAAACATGAAAAAGTTGGATTTGTAGTGTACAGTGAATGATAGAATTTTTTTGGGAATCACTCCAACACTGCCACACGGGGCAACAGTCCAAATTAATGAATACAGAAAGCCTCGGGAAGAGAATCTATAGTATCTACAGGGAACAATCAAGCTCTTTCTGGCAGATGTTCGGTACATCGTTCTGAAATCACAGTTGGTTGATGGCATATGGACACACCATATAAAGAAGAGATAGAGATGGGGAGGCATTTATATCGAGCTTAGTAGCTGGAGATATAAGAGGGGAACAGAGGACGGGGGAGAGTGAAAGAAATATTTAGTTCTATATATCAAGGTAAGAACCAGGGCTGGGCCACAAACGCCAGGGTTTCCGTATGGGTGAGACTCACGAGACTGGACTAGTTAAAAGACTTTTCTGGCATTTGTTGATATTCCAGGCCATATTTAGTGCTATGAAAGCATACTACAATCCATTGAGCTCGCTAATTTCCCTCCACCAGTCTCTACTCACACGAATACACGGTGTTCTTGTCGAATTCTAGCATATCGTCGTTAATAACCTCGACTCCTTTGCCGTGTTTTTGAGTAAAATACTCCTGAAGTTCACTACATCTTGTCGTTTTTCCCGATGCAGGATAACCACATATTATTATGAAAGGCATCCTGCCCCAAAAAACTTCAAAACACAAAATCTTCCCAGGCGAAAACTATGAAGTTCCTTTCAAACTTTTAAAGCAAAAAAATGTCAAATTCGACCGCCATCTTGAAAAGGACCCGGTCAGGAGACTGGGTATGATTTTGGCAAAATGTTTAAAATTTTCGATTTTTTCTTTTAAAAAAGTCTTAAAATATATATGTCGAACTTATAATGTGAAAGAAACTACATTATGTCATATAACTTATTGGAAACATTTTCGAGCTTGATAATTTTTGTCGTACTTTTTACAAAAAAGCCAAAAAATTCATTGTGGAAGCCCGCACACCCGTGCTCCCACAAAACCCTAAATTCGGGCGTGTACACAACAAAATTTCATAATGGTCGGTTGTAATTGTAATTGTATTGAAATAAGAACTGTTGTTTTATTAATCGCTTTATGCTTTTTGCAGTCACTTTGCCAAGATGAAAAGCCAGCAGATACTGCAGAAATAAAGGAAATAAGCAATTCTGGTTCAGGTGAACCTGCTGTCATTTCACAAGGTGATGTAATTTCTCCTAGCCTAGTGTTTGGAGAAAGTGAAAATGGCAAAACTAGTGTACTAGCAGACAGTTTTAAAGTTTCTCTGGAGGAGAAAAGCGTGGAGATAGAACAGCAAGATCTTGGCAAGACGAAAGAATTGAACGACGGTGCCGAAAAAGAGGATGGTGGAAAAGCGGATCATGAAAAAGCAAAAGTGAACGAACAAGATAAACAGGATGAGAAAGATGATGGGAAAAAGGAAGAAGAGGAGAAAGGAATAGATTTAAAAGTTCTTAATGATAATGATTTTGAACATCTGACTCAAGCTGCTACTGGTGCTACAACTGGAGATTGGCTTGTCTTATTGTGAGTATTGGGAGATTGAAAATACTGTGCTGAGTGGTTATATTACTACCTTAAAAAACAATCAGAAAATTAACATTTCGAGCGAAGGCCCTTCGTATTTAATACAATAATATAATGCAATAGTTACAGCTCAAACGGTCAAACCGACTAACCGAGACTGCTTTTATATTTTCAAACTTACCGAAATATGAAACCAATCACCAGCGGGTTATTTTGACTAAACTTTGATTGGTTTGGCTTAGTTTGATAACATTAAAACTATATGTAAAAGTGGCCTTGGTTTGCCTGTTCGAGCTGTAAAGTCAAGCATTGCACAATCACGAGAATGAGGCTCTATAGCCAAGTTGACATACTTATTTTCCTTATCATTGAGAAACTGCTGCAGGCATGGTGACAATATACCTTGCTGTAGAGTACATCCAGGGACCACGGAGCCATTTTTGGATTAGGGGGGCTATAGCGAACGCTGAAGGCGTGAGTTTGTTAGGGGGGTCTGGGGCATGCTGCCCCAGGAAATTTTGAAATCTGAGAGCCCGGAAATGCAATCAAATTTACTAGTTGCTGTTAAAAATTTTCTTAATAGATGACTCTTAATCTAATATTAGCCGTCATTTGTTTAATCCAACCAGAAAATTAGATTGAATACTTGGCTATATAAGTTATAAATATATTTTTATAATTTTTTTTTTGAATAGCTTATTATAAACAAAAGAGTTTATTATAATTCTTATCTTGGAGAAATTTGTGGCAACAGTTGGGAGTGCATTGCTGCTTTAGGAGTGAACGCCCACCCGTCACTTCCTTTACCTTTGCCTACATTTTTCATCTGGCCATCTTAAGAATTCGAATAAAGATGGACAAAGTAACATGTATGTATTTCATGCTTTTTAGCACAAAGGAGGATGGTTGTGATGAATGCACTGCAGCAGAGAAAGAAATGAAGATTGTTTATGAAAGGTTACTTCCTCCTTCCTACGATGGCCTGAAAAATATTCTTTGATAAGTTAGTCCTTAGATATTCATTCTTCAATTTTTAGAGTTAAACATAAACTGAATGTAGCGAAAGTGGTGGATGGTCGTTTATCGAAAAGTAAGACTTCATCAGATTTATTAATCAGATGCATTTTTGTGAAATGTCATTTTAATTGACAATTATCAAAAACAACTAATTTCCTGTTTTTGATGTTATAATTGTTATTCTGAGTGTATATGATCCACACCGGGCAGGCTGAAAAGTTTGCCTGACAGAGCCGTTGGACTAGTATCCCAAAGGTCATGGGTTCTATTCCCACTGTGGCCTTTGGGATACTAGTCCAACTGCTCTGTCAGGCTAACTTTTCAGACTGCCCGGTGTGGATATACACTCAGAGTAACATCAAAAACATTATATTCACCTGAGTGCATAACATCAAAACACACACAAAAAACTAATTTCCTTCTATTTGCAGTGACCTTTAAGAGATTCAATATTGAGAAGAAATTGCCAATTATATCTCTGTAAGTATATGTCTTCAATACAGTAATAATACGTCTGACTGTATGATTATAGCTATAGTGGGTCATTCCAGAAAAGATCACTCCCACGGAGGAAATTTCTGCTGTCTGGACAGGGAGGGAAGAAAAATTTGTTTCTGATAATAACTGTATTAGGACGTCCGAAGGGGGGAGGAGGGGGTTAACTGCCAATTTTTTCTGTGACAGCTCGGTTAATGAATGTTTTCTCGAATGACCCAATTATTATTATTAATGTTTTCTCCCAATTTGTAGATTTCATCATGGCAAGAGGTTTTCATACGAAAACAATTTAAACGTGGATGACTTCATGAAATTTCTCGAAGGAGGTTATGAGTTGGCTTCATGGTCATCCGTCCGGGATCCTTTTACGTCATTGTAAGAATTATACCTTAATGAGTCCTTTTACGTCATTGTAAGAATTATACCTTGATGAGCGGCCATTTTAACGTCTTGTTGCATATATTTAAGATTGTGGTTATGGCTGCCAGTGGCGTAACGTTATATCAGGCCCCCCCCTGTTTCAAACTTTTCCAAGGCACCTCTCCCCTAGTAGAAGTGCCAAAGGCACAAGTCGAGCGCCGTATATGCACAAGTTTTCTAGTGGGTCCAGGTGGTCCAGGGAATGCTCATCCGGAAAATTTTTGAATCTAGACTCTCTGAAATGCCATTTCCCGGACTTTGGGGAGAGATTTTACAGAATTCTGATGGTCAGAAAACGGTATTCTTGCTCCGAGCCTGGGTAGTTATGCCACTGATGGCTGCTCATTATAATTGTATTTTTACATTTTCAGTGAATACTATATAGATGGATCCCTTGAAGAACTAAAGGTTAGAAACACAATTGTGGAGTATGCAGTTTTTATTATTACTTTTTGCCTTGCAGACGTGCAATGAGCTTTTCTCACAGCATTTTTCGCCATTTTTCACCAAAAATCTTTCCGCCATTTTTGGGGTACTGCATCTCCCACGTTTGAGAGTCTCCGCACCACAAAATACAACTTTTTAGTGTTGTAGTTGTTTGTATAATGGTAAATGTACAGTTACAACTTTTAAAAGTCACTTTTCACATTGTTTGAATTGTCTAGAATCTTTAATGAGGGCAGACAGTACCCCAAAAATGACGGATTTTGGCCTTTGTGAGAAAGGTTAATTAAACACATTAGTACAGTTAAGAACATCCTCATCTATAGGGGACTTTCAATGGATTATAAATTCTTCCTGTTTAAACATGACTTTTTCTTTTTTCAGGAAATGTTTCTGTACAGAAAGAATGCGTCGTTCCTCATCTTTTTTGGTGGCTTTATATGTGGTATATCCGTGACATCCCTGTGTGGTTCAATCATCTTTCACCTCTTGGAAAATTTCAAAGATGAAGATGAAGTATGCGAAGAAGAAGCCAGTCGAGATCAGGCTGACGGCAAGAACAAGGATGATTAATTCAGAGTTAGGTGTCAGTACTATATAGTGTTAAAGATATATTAGAATGCTGTTAGGGTTTGTAATCCAAGTTAAGACCTGACCAGGAACGACTGCAAAAAATGCAGCACAAGGTCCTCTGGTAGGAATTGAACCTACGACTCTGCGCAGGGCCGTAGGTTGAATTCCTACCAGAGGACCTTGTCTTGCATTTTTCGCAGTCCTTCCTGGTCAGGTCTTAAAATGAATATATATATATATATATATACTCACTTGGATTACAAACCCTAACAACAGCATTCTAATATTAATACCACCAAGTGAAGTGCAAGAAACCAGATTGTTAAAGATATATCCGCCCTGACCTCGACGTGATAACAATCACGCGCTAGTGGCACAGAAATTTCGACCTTGGGGCAAACGCGTATTTCATGCAACATTTTATGGCGGAAACCTATTAAATTGAAAACATTTTTATTTACTTCTTTGTTTTGACCAAATTTCTTTGCAGTAATTAATAGCCTTCTACTGCGTGGCTCACAGCAATAATAGTAAATAGATATCTCTTATTTTTGCGCGAATTCTGTCAGTGGACAATGAAACATCTATTTGCACACATTACCGATTGACGACTCCAAAAAAGGTCTGAAAATAGCTGGTTATTCAGCTTGCAAGAAAAAGCAATATTGTGTGGATTCATTGTTTATTTTGATACTTTTTAAACTGTGTGAAAACTATCTGTTGTATGTATAATATTTCCTCCTGTGTCCGAACGCGAGTATTGCATGTTTATATAGTGATAGGAAATTGCTTCAAAAACTGACAAATAAACGAAGCTAAAGGTTACATATGTTAAAACGTAGAAGGCAATATTAATGGCAAAAATCACTAGGGTATATTGACAATACACGGTGCGTTTCTATTAAAAATTGTGAAAATATTGAGACTTGTGATTGGTGATATTCGTAAGATACAGGATAATTAGTAATCTAATCAGCGAATGCAATTAATCAAGGAGGAGTTGCAACTAGTAGATGTATTGGAAGTAAATAAATGGGATGTGTGCTTATCACCCTTATTTACAGCTGAGAGGATTACGAAGGAAGCAGCTCAACCTGTTCGAGTTGAAGCACACGGAGCACAACTACGATATGGAAGGCTGGCTAGGTCGGTTTCTGTCATCACAGTAAGAATTTTGCATTGGTAAATGTGCTGGAAATTCTATGAATTTCAGCTGGAAATTCTATGAATTTCATCTTGAGTAAAAAGAGGAAACCCCGGTGTGTATAATATCGTCATAATCTGTACGTATGAAAAACACACCGAAAAGCGTTTCCTGTGTTATTGCTCGTAGAAATTTGTTAGATTGCATTTTCAATAAACAAGAAACATAACATTGTGATGCGACACTTTCTTCACAATGTTTTGACGCCATTGCGCACAGACAAAATGGCGAACGAGCAAGCGGAGTTTCGTAGAATGGCGACAAGGTCTTCGGTCTATCTCTGGGAGTTCTTACTCGAAGTGTTAGAAGATCAAGAACTGCAATTGCTGTGTTACTGGATTGATAAACCTCGACGGGAATTTTGCGTGAAAGATCCCGAGGAGATTGCCAAGTTATGGGGGATTATGAAACACAGACCTTTCATGGATAAGAAAAAGCTGCTTCGCGCCATTCGTTATTACTACACCTCTCAACTCATAACCAAAGTAATTACAATTTATACTGTTTACAGGTTGGTAGTTTTGATTCGAAGCGCTCTGACTCCACGGACTGCGGGACGACTTTATGACTGGTGTGTAAGGGTGGTCTGGGGATACGCCCCCCCCCCCCCAGAAAATTTTGAAAATTAAAAGCTCACAAAGTGAGTTTCCAACTGCTTCCCATAATAATTTTGTTTAAAGTAATCATGATTGCCTGATGATCGGCAGATATATTTCTGAAAACACGTGTCTACTGTAAAGATGCCTTGCATTCATTCTTGTTTTACATATACCCACAACAGAAAAACGAGCAGTTTTCCTTCGTTTTACTCGCTCCAAAATTACTAAAACATCTGCTTTGTTTCTCTCTTCGATGGCGCCGTAGCCACACCCTGTTTATTGATTGCTCCCCCCCTCTCTGCCTCCTCACCACTAGTGTCTACCACTGCCTAGCCCTAACCGGCTATTGGTAACGTACCTTCCAGTGTAGCCGTGATGAGACAATTGAGTCGTATAGTGGTAGAAAAATTTTACTGTAAAGTGTAATTATGTTATCATTTAAAACTGGTCATTGACCAGTTTTAAATGATAACATAATTACACTTTACAGTAACTTTTTACATTTTACAAAGAGTTACTATTTACATTTTACAAAGAGAATTTTTTCGTTTGTAAGTTATTCTTGATTTGCATTTTTAAAATCTATCAATTCCATTTATCTTGCAGATTCCAGGTAAAAAGTTTTCCTACAAATTTGGAGAAATCCCTTACGCACACCCGGCGTTTCTCGCCCACCTTTATCGCCCACCTACCCCGGTAAATGTTCAACTAAAACTTTCAAGTCGTGGCAAAATGGATCCATGTTGAAAAAATAAACACGTAATGTGACTGTAAATAGATTTTTCCAATCGTATTTAGCTATTGGAAACAAATCGTTTAGGCTTTTGTAGACTCAGACGGGCTGTGCCTGTGTAGGTAGCGAGTATATAAGGACAACTGTGGATTCAGAGATACATTAACTACCTGAAAAGATAATCTTGAACTGTCTGTGCCAGTGTAGGTAGCGAGTATATAAGGACAACTGTGGATTCAGAGATATATGAACTACCTGAAAAGATAATCTTGAACTGTCTGTGCCAGTGTAGGTAGCGAGTATATAAGGACAACTGTGGATTCAGAGATATATGAACTACCTGAAAAGATAATCTTGAACTGTCTGTCAGTGTAGATAGTACCATTAATATGAACAAGCTTTCGTTGGTAGGGATGAAACCATTGAACTATAAATAAACTGGAAGGCTAACTGCTATGATGAAGGCCTATGATTTGATGAAGCCAAAATAGTTTTTCTGAGTTATGAGCAGAAATACTTGACCCCAAACGTCGGGCAATATATCAAATTGAAGCTATTGAAAATTGCTATTCGGTGTGGAAATTTCAAGACTTCAGCGAAAAGAAAAATATTTAAAAAATACAAAAACAACTGCAAAACGGCAAATTATCAGTAATTATGTTTGTAGTTTTTCAATATTTCCCTTTTAGCTAAAGTCTTGAAATTTCTACACCAAATAGAGTTTTTCAATAGCTTCAATTTGATATATAGCCCAACGTTCAGTGTTGAGTATTTCTGCTCATAACTCAGAAAAACTAAAATGCACTGGCTTCAATTTCCCCCCCTGAGTTAGCCTTCCAGTTTATTTATAGTTCACTGGATGAAACTACCTGAAAAAAGTAAGGAGAATTTCGGCGAAGGCCCAGACCACTTTCGGCTCAAAAATGGTTATTTTTCCCGCGCCTAATGCAAATATATACAAAATTTGCGAACTTCACAGGGCTATATTTTACTCATTTTACAACGATTGGCAACCAAACTTTGCAATTTTACTCATTTTAACATGCTCTTTCCAGCTATGGTAATGGATTTCGCTGTTCTTGTCTAGATCAAAATTTCGTCTACAGCTGAAATCACCCATTCTCCTTATATTCTTCAGGCATCTCTACCAACGAAAGCTTGTTTTGAAAAATATAAGCAGTCTAACTATGTCGAAACCGCGATCGAAGTTATGCTTCTCCCTCAATCTACATTTGTCTTTTTATACCAACGTTTGTGTATTAAAGTTATTCTTGTAAATATGAATTTTCCTGTATTTAAGATTAAATATAAGTTAAGCCAAAATTGGGTAGCGGAAAGTGTAGTTTTCGGGAGGTAAGAGCCCCCCGGAAAAGCTGGAGAAACAACTTCAGGGTGAAAGTACGGGCCCTCACCGTTATGGACATTGAACCTCATGTCCTAGCCATTGAACTAAAAATAACTGGAACGCTACGTTCAAGCGGAAGTTTGAAGCTAAATTATACAAGCTCGTACACAGGCTTTAAAAGGCCCGTTTTAAACTGAAAAGGCCCGTTTCCCTTTCGATTCGCATCTTGCCATGAAAACGTTCAAAACGGCATGCTTCAAGCGCCCCCTGTATTGTCTCGCGAGTAAATCGCGCAGTAGAAACACGCGTGGAAGTGCGTGTCTGGGAGTCAAAACTGGCTTCATTTGGCTTCATGGGAGTCAAATTTTGGCTTCAAAATTTGCATGCGCAGTTTACTGAACGTAGCGTTCCAGTTATTTTTAGTTCAATGGTCCTAGCTGGGCTTCCCCATGGTGGGGTAATTAGCCCCCCCTCCCACCCCCCGTACCTTGCTCCCGATCTTGTGGAAGTATGGACACCGGACACCTCTTTCCGCGCCCCACTTTTCATTATCCTCAAGAAGATAAAAATATTTACAAGCTTGATAAAACAAAACAATATTGTAGTATAGATACGATTATAATTGATTTATTTAAGTTTCTATCGTTTTTATGCACGTTCATTAAAAGTATTGTTCATTAAAAAGTTAGGTGGGATTTTTATTTTATGTTTTCTCAAAGCCAAAGGCAGTACAGCTGAAAACAGAATGAAGTGTAGTTTTGGCTAGCCGTTTGCTTACATAAAGCAAAAATGTCGGGCTTTAGCAATAACAATATTTTAATGGCATTCGCAATTGACACATGACAATTGTTGTCAAAGGCAAGTTGTTTTCAGAACATCGTTTCCGTTTAGGTTAAGTAGTTTTAGTTTAGGTCTTGCGTCTTATTAATCGCAGTTTATTTTTTGACACGCAGATCTCTTGTGGCCAAATTGGGTGACGGATGATCAGTGGCGTAACACCCCCCATGTTTTCTAAAAACCGTTGGGGGGGGGGAAGAAAAAAATTTCGAACCATATTCAATGAATATTTCAATTAAAAAAATAGTCAGTGGATTCGTGTATTTGAAATGAAATATACAATGTATGTTTCTAGAAGCTAGGCTGGTCACAGACGCTCG